AGAAATCAATCAAATAAAATAAAATAAACCAAATTTAGTTATCCAAATTGAATTAATTTTTATTGTTTCATTTTAAGTAAATTCCAATTTGTCCATCTTCCTCATCTTCCTTCTTCAATGTTCCATATCTTCCAAACTTTAACCATTAGTCCATTAGCACATTAAAGCATCAGTGCATCACCAAGAACATAACAGTCCAAAATCATAACAAAACAACATCTTGAGTTACAAGAAGTCAAGAACACACATCTACATCAACTACATTTCCAAATTTTCTACTCTTTTACATACATTAGCTTGCCATGCATCTCGATCGAGCTCTCGCAGCAAAGAGACGATACCAACGAACACCACACAGATATCTCAGGCGTTTTCGCCTCGCTAATCATCTCCTCAACCCACATAACGGCTCTATACGTATTCCCAACCGAACAAAGACCCTTTATAACCCTATTATAAATCTCATCCCTCGGCCAATACGAGCTAATACACATCTTCTCCAACACTCGACTAGCCTCTAAATACTTACCATCACAACACAAACCATCCACTAAATAACTATATGTCTCCCTATTGGGTACACAACCGATTTGCCTCGACATCTTCTCAAAGTACCTCACTGCCCAATCACATTCTCCGGCATCACAAAGCCCTTTTATAACAACATTGTGCAACCTCACGTTCGGCACACAATTGATCATTTCACATTCGACCACATGGACCGCCTCTTGTACCTTCCCCAACTCAAATAACGCTTGTACCTTAGCTTCGTAAACCGAAAAACACGACCCGAAACCTCTCTTGCGCATTTCGTTGAGCACCTTGTCACCCTCGGAAATCCTCTTTTCGGAGTAGAATTCGATAGCCATTGATCCATAGCCATCCGAGCTAGGAACCCCGCCTCTCACCAAAGCCTCGTCAATCAAACCTTTCACTTGATTAATGCCGATTTCATCTTTGTAGTATATCTGGCTTAAGTCGAGAGGTTTGCAGTATTTTTTCGGAGCCTTTAGGCCTTTACGTAAAACCTTCTCGAGTAACTCGACAGCTTCCTCGACCTCCCCATTGTCACACAAAGCCTTTAATAGAGTTCGGTAAATCGTGATATCGGCCCCACAACCCTTCTGCGAAATCCTCCAAAACATAGAGTACAACAAATGTTTCGCCTCATGAAGTCTTCCATCACGGCACAAACCCTTCATCAATATCCCGTAAGTTTCTCTATCGGGATAGCACCACAAATAGCCCATTTCTTGGAAAACGCGTAAGGCGAGATCTGAGCGGCTTGACTTGCAGAGGGCATCCATGAGCAGTTTCAAGGAAACCATTCGGGACTTTATTTCCCACCCACAGCAATTCTCGACAAAAAAGTTGTAGGAAGCTTCTGGATTGTTCTCCTTTAACATTATCTCTAATAGGGTGTTGAAGGATTTTGTGAAGTTTACGCAATTGAATTCGGGAAGTCTTTTGAAGAGAGAGATTGACTCGTTTAGTAAGCCAGCATTTGCGTACGTTGTGATTATGCTGGAAAAGAGGGAATCTTGGCACTCGCATGAGTCGTTCTTCATGCGTGTGACGAGTTCTTTCATCTCGGCCAGCCGGCCAGAGGTAGCTAGTATTCGGATCATTGTGGAGTAGACAGGCCCATTATGGCGGTAAGTTGGATATCGGGCTTTGGCTTCATTGAAAAGTTCCAAAGCCTTTAACGGGTTTTTCTGGCCGCGTATGAGCTGCGAGAGGTGGGTGGGTGTCAAAAGCCTTGGCCACCTTACACTCATGGAGTTGAAACACCAGGACTGTTTTTGTAAAGAATATATCAATAGAGAAGTAAAATTAGATAGGAAAAAAAAAAAGATGATGATGACAAAGATCCTTTAATCATAAGTAGCGCCAAAATCAGAGTGAAATGATTAAAAATTTAAAATACAGACTTATCATCGTCCAAGTGTTTCAGGCAATTTATCAAACACCTTCTGTGCATGCTCCAAGATACTTGAATACAAGAACAGGGTGCAAGTTCCATTACTGCACTAAATCGATACAAATTGGGATTTTTAACTTTGATTAGCCTAATAAATCATAAAACATCATTGTATTGCCTTGGTACGCAATAAAAGTACCACCGCTGTCCTAATTAAGTTGCAAAAGAAAATGAGAACGAAGACCTTCAAAGCTGAAGAACAACATACCTGAGCTGATCGAATGGATTTTTTTGCGCAAACTGAATGATGAGAGCGATCCTGTCAATGCGAAATTGTCTGTCTTACATATATAATATTAGTAGGAGTTTTAGAAATCAATCATGGTGCAAGTAGCTTGTTCTTGTTTCTGTATTGGGCTAATATTGTTAAATTGGATAAAAATTATTCTAAGCAATTCTATTATAAAAATTAAGAGACACTTATCAAATCCGTTGCACAATGAAATTATCAAGTTCTTTGAAAAAAAAATACTTGCTATTTGATCCGTGTTTAGTAGAAATCGCATTTTCTTATTTATTTTCTTATAAATAGATTTATTTTAATTATGAATTTAGGAAATCATAGAATACAGAATGTAAAAACGAGCTCTAGAGCTAACGTTTTCATTGGAACTTTGAGACAGAAATTCTATGGAACCTTCAGATGGTTTTTATGGACTCATCCATCACTTAATGTATTGACACATATTCCAAATGTATTTATTGTACGTGTCAATACACTATTTCTAAATAAGTATGGATGACTCCATAAGTAATATCATCCGATGGCTCCATAGCAAAACTGAATTTTTTGAGAATTTCTCGAGTGGAAAGTTCATTGACCAACTTAGAGCATCTAACAACCCTCCTTTTACAGTTTTTATGCTATGTTATTCAAAACATTATATACCTCTAATAATAATAAACCCCATAAACCGTCTTTCTTATTAGTCTCACATGTTTCCCACTTACTTCTACTTAATATTATACTTTTATTTTTATTAATATTTTAAAATTTTTAACTCTACTTTTAATTTTTATTCAATCCAAATGTTTCATATATTTATCATAAATATATATAAAAAATAATATAATTTTATTGCATTATTCATAATTAAAAGTGTACAAATTAATTAATAAAAAAAAATATAAACCGATATAAACTTATAATTGACAATTTCTAGTGCACAAATTAATGTTACACTTTTATATATAAATTTATATTTAATTTCATGTTTATAACTGTATTTTTTAAAATAATAAGTGTTCATTTATATTTTTTCAAGAATAAAATAATAATAACACGTAAATATAAAATATGGATTCTAAAGACTAAAGAAGGTTTTAAACTTCACTTAGAAGATTACAAGATATAAAAAGCATGAAAAAACTTGGTGATTCAAAACTAAATAAATCACTTCAATAATATACATATTTTCCAATTCCCTCATGCTTGAATACATTTGGTAACATGCATAAGCAAACTTGCTGATTCAGAAGACAGGATACATAAAACCCATATACCAACGATAGGCAAATGAAAGAAGCACAAAAAACACGTAAAGTTCTGAACTTGACATGTCTAAGGGCAGAAATCGCCCCTGCACAAATTGATTAATTACATGTAGAATGTTAGTCCGCGCATCACAAATGTTATTGTTAGACTGTCTAACGGTCCCCTATACGAAAACACACACACAAACACACATACGAACCCACAAATGGCCACCATTTCCAGCTTTCAAACATTTCCCCATGCAGGATTAACCGAAGAATCTCCGACAACCGGGCCATTAATAATTTGAGGCCCGACCGCAAATCCACCAACAGCAGCATATGGGTTCGTTCCCTCCATCGTGGGCCCATTAATCGTTTGAAGATGAGGCCCACCAAAGTTGTCTGGATAGCTGCTTTTTCCGTGAAGCGTAGGTGGATACGAATTGTCTGAGTTTATGTACAAAGTTTGCTGGATTGGAACTACTGATATATAAGCATAGGAGAGTTTCATTAGGAGAAGAGGAACTAAATGTACAAATCGGTCATGTTTTACTAGCAGAAATAATTACCGCTCGTCTTGGCATTTATTAGCTCCACTCGTAATCTTTCTACTTCTTCAACCATGGCAATCAGGTCTTTCTCAAAAATTTTCATTTCCTCCACTTTCTTCGTGTTCAAATCTTTCTCGTAGTCAAATCTCTTGCTTCATTTTCCCCCCGAAAAAAAAAGGAACAAATAAATAAATAAAATAAGTAATTATGCAATTACTAGTTGAACATTCAGAAATAGTATCTGAACACGGTAAAATGAAAGCAGCATACACACACAAACGTATGAAAAATTCTACATACCACATCCACCTGCCTATCAAAATTTTAAGCATGAAAACCACACGATAAGAGAAACAATCTAGTGCAAAATCATATGTGAGCCCACGTGAATCACTGGAGAAAATAAAATATTAAAATGCGAAAAGTTGATACCACCTACCGTAACCTCTTGTGCTCTTTCCTCAAGCCCTCAAGCTGCGCGTGCATTTCTGGAAGTTTGTCAACATTCGCACGGGCATTCTCCAATTCTATATTAGCCTGCTGAATTCTAGCAATCAACTCCAACTTTTCTGTCCTCAAGTCCCTCTCTTCATCCTGTGCCTCCTTAAGTTCCTTCTTCAAATTCTCCCCTGCCCTGATATCATCTTCCAATTTCGCAATCTTGTCCAACAAAATTCGAATTTCGATATCCCCTTCATTTTGGATACTCCGAATATTTTCTCTGAATTTATCTGCCTCCCTCTTTGCAGCCACAAGATCCTGCCTCAGGGCTAAATGGCTGGACGCTAGTGTACGGTTGTCCCTACCAAGTCTTTCTATTTCCGCAGCCTGCGAAGCCAATTTCTCCTCTAAAACCACGGCAAGACGGATTTGTTCTCTCATGTGGTGTGGAGGAGGCAATGGCCCACGACGCAATCGTTCGTCATATGCTGGTGGTATATTTCTTCTCGAGTCCATGATTATGGACAATTTCTTGAACTGTGAAGAAACCATTGAAAATTACTGAATAATTATAGCAACGTGATCCACGACATTATGAATTAGATAGAAATCATATATGTAGCATTAGCAAAACCCAGAATTTGATGTTCTGGACTTTCCATGAGAAAGATTGATGCGATTGTCAAATATTACTTGCGTGAGGGGAATTAGGTTTAGGCTTCCTCACTAACATGAAGTGTTGGACACTAAGAGATGTACAGTTCGTGTCTGTATCCATGTTTAATATGGAGCATAAAATCTAAGCGCCGTATACAGACATAATTGCTTAAGAAATTGCTAAGCCTTCAGCATAGGGTGTACTATTTTCACATGGGACCTTGGTAGAAGACTCCAACCATGACATTCAAGAAATGCAAAAAAAAATTGTGTACAAATTTAATGAGAACTTTGTGTCAATGATAACACCTAATCATGAGGTATAACATAATGTCGAAGTTGGTGCATGTTGAAAATAAGAATATAGGGAATAACCCTTTACAACTTAAACTTGTCCACACGGTAGTCAAATAAGTCAACGCTCAATTAAACCATGAAATAAATTACAATCTTATTGAGTGGCAAAAAATTGCACCAAAGTACAGATATTTCCATCTTATGGGGGGAAAAACTGATGCCACCCAATACCTGCTGAAAAACAAATTAACCAAGGCATATTTTCTCACAAAACTAGTGGACTGAACATTTTTTATTCAAAAATCGGATATGTACAAAGTGATTGATGATCCATTATTTGACGGATTAGGTGAATATCAACTCAATCTAGTTTGGACATGTATTCAATTCAAATCCACTTCACCAAATGCCCAGTACAGTCCCAAATACATTTTTCTCCTAATACATCACAAATTCACAATCTCCAAAAACAGTCTCCGAAACACTTTTCTCTCAACACCTGAGATAAACACAAGCATTTCATTATATGTTATGTTCTTTTCAATTCCATTTAGGCAGATCTACTAGCATCTCCCAATAAATTATCTGACATTTACTTCCAGCATATGTTATTTTCTTTTCAATTCCATTTAGGCAGCCAAGAAATTATCTGACATTTACTTCCAAAGTAACTAAACGCATTCTTCCACCATTTCTTAAAATGGAAGGCCAATTACATTCTTCTGAGATTTGCAATTATGCCACTGCATGATCTACCTCAAATAGCATTCATCAAGCTCCCTTTAACTGAATAATTGCTTTTACTTTCCCCTAGCTAACACAGAATCACTCCAACAAAAGCCATAAGAGCCGCACAAAAAATATGAACTAAAACCAAAATTCACAGAGGAAAAAAATTACAAAATTAAGAATGAAAAATCCTCAAACTACCAGCCAGGGTACCAAAAATCCTATCATTCAGCACATGAATTTGTATCAGTTGAACAATCAGAATTTCGTCATGAACGGCTCCGTCGATTTGTAGAAGACAATCGGTTCCACAAACATCTACTTTGTCCGAATTAAGCATACAATTGGCAATGAAAAAGCTCCAAAAGAAAAAAGAAAAAAAAAAGGGACACAAACATGGAGGATCCTAAATTACCTGACGATTATGGAGATGCTCGCAGCGGTGAAGGAGGTCGAGACATGGAACTTTTTCACTGCGATTTTCCGTGCAGAGACATCATCTATAATGTACGCATGCAGGTAAAACCGAAAAGCAGTAAAAAGGAATTTGACCTAAAATGCGAAATATGTAAGTAATAATATTTCTAAAAATTTCACATATTCGATTTTAAAAATATAATATTGTGCTGTACAAATATTATAAATATTAACATTTTTTAACTTGTGTACGAGGAGTTCTAATCAATGTTTTAAATACCGTGCGATCATATTGGACGAGCCACCGATACGCGATTTAATCGGTTTATCATCTATTTGACCAGCTTTAATAAATATTAAATTATTCTATTATAATAATATAATAATGTATAAAATTAACTATAATAAATACTAAAATTAAATAAAATCTAATAACAATGTAAATATATTAAAATTAAGTGTAGAATTTTCTAGTTATATAAATAAAATAATAAAAAATTTTATAACTTTTTTTTTAATATCTGAAATACCCGGTAATTTTAACCGATATTTTAGCCCATATTGTCCAGTAAAATTAATATTTTCCAGTATGAAGCAGGTTTAAACCAACTAGTACGGTACCCGTGCGATGCACGGGAACATTTATTACCTATTTATTTTTTAAAAGGTATTTTTGTATTTAAATTGTCTCATGCCATTAAAAATTTCATGAAAATGAAATTTATATGTTATTAAACACTTCCTTATGTACAACATTATTGATTTGATTCTTTGTCACGTAATCTACTACATAGGTGTTCGAATTTATCTAAAGTTGCATATTATTAGTTATTAATTAATAAATTTTAAAAAAAAATTATAGGATCTTATATATTAAACAAAATTAAAGTAGAAACAAAAGTAGAATTTTTTAGGAATTTTCACTAATTATTATTTAAATCTAATTCTAAATTTCAATTAAGAAAAATTGAAAAGAATCATTAGTTAGTCTTGGAAATGAAACCGATTTTCCTACCAATAAACCGATTTTTTTATCAAACAAATTTATCCGAATATTTTTTTAAATCAAATAAAAAAATCTTCAATTTTTTCTAAAAATGCAACCGAATTTTGCTAACATTGCACCGATTTTTGTACCAAACAAATTGAATTGAAAATAATTTTAATAAAAAATTAAAATAAATTGTTAATGTTTATGCAATTGTCTTTTTTCTAAAGAAAATGATATGAACTTACCAAAATCTCCGTAAAACATGGTTAAGAAAAAACACAAGAATCCAAAAAAGTCGATGCATTTAAATTTTGAAAAGTTCCACACAATTTTTCCTAATTAATTGGATAAGGTGACGTTAAATATCAATGATGAACCGCTTTTGTTACCAACAATTGTGGACACAATTTTGAATGTACATCCCGTCCAAATATCAATTTTATTTTAAAATAAAAATTGCACGTGGCTTTATCCAATTTACACAATTTTTTTGAAAGAAAAAAATATTCAATAAGATTGGAAGAATTGATTAAGAATTATACAACTATTTGCTTCCTAAATTTGTATCCAATTTGCACGGTTTTTAAATTAATTTATATTTAAAATTGTTTTCATAAATAATTGACATATTTTTTGTATAAGAATCTTTAAATTTGTTACCAAAAAAGATGATTTAAATTTTGGTTAAAACAATAAAATATGATACGAAAAAAATGAGATTCAAATTTTGCCATAAGAATCTCCAAATTTGTTACCAAAAAAATAGGATTTAGATTTTGTTACTTAAGATTTACATGTGTTTTTTTGAACTTTCCATTAATAGTAAGTCAAATATTATTTTTATTTGGTCAAACTTTCTATTAATGTATTTTTCCAACAACCTCTTTATATATATATAGATATAGATATAGATATAGATATAGATACTTTGGCCAAAACGCTATTTAGAGGGTAATCATACCGATTGGACAATCGGTATCCGGTATAAACGGTAATACCAGCCAGTACATACCGGTAATTAAAACATTGGTTCTAATCTTCTGAAATATTTTTATATTTAGTATGAATTGTAATTAATTAAATTTCTCCTTATCATATCTAAGAAAAAGTCTACAATCCCGTCACGAAATGATTCCTGCTAAAATCCCTCAAGGAATCATTTCGTGACCGGAATATTGTAGACTTTTGTCATATCTAATATTTTGCCTAAACAACAGCGGAAAAAACTTTTGGACTAGCAGTGAGCAGTCTAACTTTGTAGTTTTATTGGGCCCGAATAAGTAGATTATTAACAACATAATTATTTTATATTGATTATTTTATATATATATATTTTTTTTTTTGGTACATGATTATTTTATATTTTGTAGTAGGCATATGCTTGGATTATTTGTTGCAGTTGCAGCAACCCTCCTAATTGCTTGGGCAGAATTGTGTATTAAGATTATAATTATACACAAACACATGATTAAACCTTAAAACATCGTAGATGGACATGCTTAATTATTCGAACATAGAAGCCCTCGTTTACAAATACAAACACTTTCATCGGAAAAACATCATACTTTAATATACATTATAATACTTTAATATACAATATAAATAAAAAATTATCGTTGACAATATCATGTATTCATTTTTATTCGTAAAATGTCGAATCGGCCTCACTAACAATCCATTTTATACTAGAATTTGTGCAGCAATATTGGCTACTCAAAACATGAATCATCATCATCCTCAAATCAGGAAGCTTCTCAAACACTCGAGAAACATTGGACCACCATTTTCATCGTGGAACAAACATTGTGTGATTTAGGAATTTTATAAGTATAGATAATTTGAAAGTCAACTGCAATCAAGAACTCCACTTCCTTTAGTGGAACTGTTGGGCCAGCAGACCACATTCATCCTCAATCGGCCCACGTGTCAGCCCACCCCATTTCTCCAAATTCTCCAATTTTGGACCCATCACATACCAACTTTAGCACCTACATCTATAAATAGCTAAATACCATGCTCGGGAACTTCATATCCTCACAAGTCACAACATCAAAACAATAACACCAATAAAAACAATATTGCCAAAAACTTGCCTTTCTTCTAGCTCAATTAAAGAATCTTAATTACAAGCACACAAAAAAGATATGGCAAAATTAGGTAGCTCATACATTCTCCTTGCTATGCTAGTCTTACTCTTATCGGTACTTGCTAAAATTTCCGAAAGTAGAGTTGCACGAAAGGACCTAGGCATCGACTTAGGTGGCGGCACTGGAGTCAGCATAGGTGCCGGAATTGGTGTTGGTTTGGGAGGAGGTGGCTCGGGAGCTGGAGCCGGTTCTGGATCTGGCTCTGGCTCGGGTGGGGGTTCTAGCTCGAGTTCTAGTTCGAGCTCAAGTTCTAGTTCGAGTTCGAGTTCTGGGTCAGGCGGTGGAAGTGCTGGGTCAGAAGCTGGGTCGTATGCAGGATCACGAGCTGGGTCTGGTTCGAATGGGGCAGGGTCAGAAGCGGGGTCGTCTGCAGGATCTAGTGCTGGATCAGGCAGCCACCACGGATGAAGGGCCTCCCGATCGACACGGGGGACCGGAAAAATAAATGAATGTATTATTTTATCGACGATGTGTGTTTAGAGTATAATATAATATAACAATAATAATATTACCATGCATGTGTGTTCGAGTATATATTATATACTAATAATACTATCCAAATCTATGTAAATCTATGTGTAAAGAAAAAATAAGATCATTATCATGCCGAGGTATCTTTATTCAATACATGCATGAGGTTTATGTATGTAGCTATGAAAATTTGATAATTGATGATTGTTGGCCATTCATTTTGATTCTTTGTGCATGATTTTTAATTATCCTTTGATATATTACAAGCTAGAGTGCAAAACATCTAATTAATAAGTGGGTTTTCAACAATTATTAACATCTCAATTTTGAGATAATAATTGGCAACACGTGCATGAGGAGTCCAGAAAACATTTATATGTGCTAGCCATAGTTTGGATTTTGGGATAGGTGAGTGCACTTTGAAATCCATCGTGTGTGATTGTTCAAAATAAAATCTTGCATGCATGTAATCAAATTCAAACATCATGTTCCTAGCCATTTGAAAGACGCCTCTCTTGAAAATTTTTGGCAAGAAAATTGAAATTTTTGTTTTAAGTGTGCTAATTACTAAATTGCATTCTTTTCAGTGGGAAAATAATGAGTTAGGCCCATCTGCTCTAAGAAATCCATAAAGCCGCTGGCCGTATTTCATTAAACCATATTAGGCCTGAAAATGGGCTTATGATTATACTATGTTACCCATTCAAAATGCAAGGAAGCTAAATCACGGTTATGAAACAATTTGTGGTGATTATTGTTGTGATCCAACCTTTCTTAGTAGTCGCATTTTTTTATAGGAAGTTCCAAAAGACAAACTCAAGCATGAATTCTATCTCTAACCTAATAGGCACGCTTTTTGAAACAGGCTTAAATCCTGTAGAATACTTACTCGGAGTTCCAAAAGATAAATCCATGCTCAAAACATGTGCAACATGTACTACAAACAGAAGTTCCAAAAGACAATTGATGCTCGAAACAAGTACAATTGTCACATGCAAATGAACTAATCAAGATATCATTAATCAATTTTCGCTTACGCAATTAACAATAAAATCACACAATTCTTACTCTCCGATGATGATTATTTATTCTACTCATGAATGTTTTGAACTTTACTTATAAAATCTCCCAGAAAATATGCCTGAGCAAAGTCGAAGTAACTTATTACGAGATGTTAGACCTTATATTAAGTCACCAAGTCTCTACTCGTATCCATATATAAAAATAAACTGGAAAGTTGCAATCTTGATGTAGAATTAAAATAATAAAAACTGGGTTTTAGGGCACTTAGTCTCACAAGATGGAAAATTATAGAGAAAGAGAGAGAGAAACTAAAATACAAATTTGGCAAACGAGGTAATGTTAGAATTAGGCTTGTAAACAAATCAAATTTTTTTGATTCGATTCGATATTCGAATTCGATATTCGTGATTTGAATTCGAAATATTCGAATTCGAATTCGAATACGTATAATGTTTTCTATTCGAAAGTTAAACGAATCCGAATTCGAATTTGTAGATATTCGATTCGAAATTCGAATATTCGATTCGTTAACAATAATTATATGAATTTTATAAATTATATATAGTATACATTTTGTTTATAATATATATGTATATATATATATATATATATATTGCTATATTCCTACTATTTTTATGACATAAAAAGTAAAAACATCATAAGTTAACAATTTTTTCTAAAAATATATGAAAAATAAAAATTATTTTTTGTAATTATAATATTTTTTAAATATATTTTTTTTTAAAACAAATTTCGAATCGAATCGAATATGTTCGAATATTCTAAACGAATCGAATACGAATAAAAAAATGAGTTCGTTAACGAATCGAATACGAATTTGAATCTTCGAATATTTTAACGAATCCGAATCGAATCTCTGAGTATTCGTTTTGATTCGATTCGTTTACAACCCTGATTAGAATGCTCCAATTTGTAAAAGACCAAAAGTATTTGTACTCCTAAGTGCCACACACACTAAAACACGAGCATAAGTATTAAAAATTGCCCTCGCCAGGTAACCAAACCATCCATTGGTTGTGGGCTACAGGTTGCTTGGTAGTCGCGGACTGGCATCGTCGCTTGCGGGTCACAGACGGGTCACGGACTCGCTAGGTAAACTAAAACGAACATAAATTAAACACTAAAAACACATAAAAATAAGTACAAAAATATATAAAACAATGGGTCGATTTTTATTATGAGCTATCGAGCTGAGCTCGTCCTCGAGTAGAAACGAGGGATTATCAAGACCTAGGGGTTATACAAAAGTCGCTTAAACGACCTAATAGTGGGCGGGGTCATGAGGTCGATGAGCGGACCTAGGGACTTGCTGAGTACTGATAGAAAAGGAGCAAAATCCTATTTGCATGACAGGAATATCCCGCTAAAATAAAAGATAAGGTTCTCATATGCATAATAAACTAGGAAACGAGATATAACACGATCTGGTTCTTAGTAAAAAAATGTTGCGTAGGCGAGAAATAAATAGAGATTACCATGTTTTTTATATCTTATCGCATATTTCAATTTATAATAACTCATGGTCAAATTCTGACTTGAGTGTCAGAGGATATACCGTCAGAACCATTTCCGATGTATTTTGCAAGTCATCAGAACTCAAGTCGAAGGACAATTCGTGCGGTCACCGTTCTATTAGCTAGGCAAGAGTAATTTGCACATCAAACTTGTTTATTATAATTATCTCATAGCAAAAGAATAAATAAATAAATAACTCTTGGTTAGAAGCAAAAGAGACAAATTCAAATCCAAAGTTTGGACAGTGATGGTGGACCTATTTATAACAATTATTATGACATAGCAAAAGAATAAATAAATAAATAAGCTTTAGTTAGAAGCACACTCACTTAATAAGCTTTAAACTTTGCTATCCTTGTTCAATAAGCTTAGTACTTATTTTTAGTTTCACTCCGTACTCAAGTGCAAAAACAACAAAAAATTTTGTTCTT